CGTTACTAGCATGTCACACTCTCCATAATAGCTATGAAATGTGTGTCCTATTAATGAAATATATTATACTGACATAATTACTTACGTGAATCATCAACAACCGCCACCGCCATTACCATCACCTCATCGATAATCATGCGTTACAATAAATAAATAGATAAATAAAAAAAAGTCACTGTCATGCTAGCAAACACCCACGCCCCCCCCCGCCCCCGAACCCCTCATAACCAACCCCGACGTGAGAATAGCCACCAGCGAAAAATAAGAATAAAACAAGAGGAAAAAAAAGAAAGAAAAGAAAAGGAAAGAAAAGAAAAAAAAAAGAAAAAAGAAAATAGAAAAAGAAAAAAAAAAGAAAAGAAATACAAAGAAAAAATAGAAAGAAAAAGAAAAAAAAGAAAAAAAAGAAAAGAAAAAGAAAAAAACAAAGAAAAGAAAAAGAAAAGAAAAGAAAAAAAAAAGAAAAAAAAAAGAAAAAAAAAAACAAAGAAAAAGAAAATAAATAATACAAAACAAAAACAAAACCAAAAAACACCGTCACATTTCACCCGTTGCATTACACACACACTCGCCCCCCTTACACACAAGAAGTTCATTACCCGGCCAGCCAATCAGGAAGAGTGAGAGAGCGAACAGAAGAGAAAAAAAAAACAGCTGACTGGTCAACCTCTCTCTCTTATCACAGCACCTCAAAACGTCTCTTATCTGGGTCATCCTCTTATCCAAACTCTTACCTCTCTCTCTCTCCTCTCTCTTGCGCGGTCACCTTATCCAAATTCTTATCTCTCTCTTTTTTTTCTCTCTCTCTCTCCTCTCTCTTGCGCGGTCACCTTATCCAAACTCTTATCTCTCTCTTTTTTCCTCTCTCTCTCCTCTCTCTTGGCGCGGTCACTTTTATCCAAATTCCTTATCTCTCTCTTTTTTTCCTCTCTCTCTCCTCTCTCTTGCGCAATATCGTGTCTACCTATCTGGTCATCATCTTATCCAAACTCTTATCTCTCTCTCTCTTTTTTCCTCTCTCTCTCTCCTCTCTCTTGCGCGATATCGTATCTAAATAGACGAGATAATTAGTATATATAACCAGGGAATTAATTTTATACAAACAAAACAGGGTCTATTTCGGTTACAGAGATAGATACAGACTAAAATTACAGAGAAATATACAGGTGAATGAAATTATATTAAGCTACCTAGCTATATTTGCTATATATGTATTCCTATAAACGTATGTGTGGCTGTAATCTACCTACAGGCTTATATACAATTATGAGAGAAATTGAGAGAGGGGAGGAGGGGGAGAAAGGAGGGGGTTGGGGGAAGGGGAGGGAGGGAGGGAGAGAGGGAGAGAGGGAGAGAGAGAGAGAGAGAGAGAGAGAGAGAGAGAGAGAGAGAGAGAGAGAGAGAGAGAGAGAGAAGAGAGAGAGAGAGAAGAGAGGGAAGAGAGAGAGAGAGAGAGAAGAGAGAGAGGAGAGAGAGAGAGAGAGAGAAGAGAGAGAGAGAGAAGAGAGAGAGAAGAGAGATAGGGAGATGGGAAGGGAAGGGAGGAGGGAGAGGGGGGGAGGGGGAGAGGGGAGGGGGCGGGCGAGCGGGGGAAGGGGAGGGCGGGGGGGGAGGAGAAAGGAGGAAGGAAGAATGAGAGGAGGGGGGAGGGCGGAGAGAGGGGGAGGGAGAAGGGGAAGAGGAGGGGGGAGGGGGGGAGGGGAGGGGAGTAAGGGAGGGAGCGGGAGGGAGGGGAGGGAGGGGACGGGAAGGAGGGGGAGGGAGAGAGAGAGAGAGAGAGAGAGAGAGAGAGAGAGAGAGAGAAGAGAGAGAGAGAGAGAGAGAGAGAAAAGAGACGAGATAGAGAAGAGAGAGGAGCGAAGAGGAGAGTGAGAGAGAGGAGAGAAGAGAGGAGAGAAGAGAGAGAGGAGAGAGGAAGAGAGAGAGAGAGAGCAAGAGAAGAGAGAGAGAGAAGAAGAGAAGAGAGAAGGGAAAAGAGAGAGAGACAGAGAAAGAGAAAGAGAGAAACAGAGAATAAAAAGAGAAGAGAAAGAAAAAATAGCAAAAAAGAGAAGGAGGAGAGAGAGAGCAGAGAAAGCACAGAGAGAGGAGAGAGACAGTAGAAATGAGAGTAGAACGAGAGACAGATGAGAGCAGACAACAGAACAGAAGAGAACAATACAAAAAACAGAGAAGACCCACGAGAAACAGATAGACAGCAAATACACAAGAATCCCGCCCCCTCCACCAAGTCCCTTAGAGATCTCCCCTAATATATAATCCCCCTCTCGTCGCACACTCCCACCACCCCAACCCAACCCATCCTCCGCCGCCAATGGTAAACTTATCGACATCTTATAACATGTACGCGCCTTTCTCTTACTTCTCCTCCTCCTCCTCCTCTCTTTGCCGCGTCCGCACCTTCTCCTGTCTTGTCATGGTCTTCCGTCTCTCTCCTGCTCGCTCTGCTGTCTCTGTCTCTCTGCCTCTCTCTCTCTCTCTCTCGCTTGTTATCTTCTCTCTATTCTCTCGCTCGCTCTCTCTCCCTCTTTTCTCTCTCTCTCTCTCTCCTCTCTCTTTTT